CCAGCGCGGGAGGGGACAGCCCGGAAAGGGGCCGGCCGCTGCACCTGAGGACAGCCCATGCGGTGCCCACGGTGCCACCGCGTCACTGCAGCCAGGGCTGGGGGCTCCGTCCTGCGTGGTGGCTTCAGCAGGCCCTGCTGCCAGGGTGTCACCTGGCCAGGGCGCTCCTACCTCCCCAGCCCTCATGTAACTTACTTACATTGAGGGCTTAGGAAACTTGAAAATAATGGCCGCTGCACATGAGGACAGCCCATGCGGTGCCCGCGGTGCCACCGCGTCACTGCAGCCAGGGCCGGGGGCTCCGTCCTGCGTGGTGGCTTCAGCAGGCCCTGCTGCCAGGTGTCACCTCTCCAGGGCACTCCTGCGTCCCCAGCCCTCGTGTAACTTACATCGAGGGCTTAGGAAACTTGAAAATAATTGAAACGCTCTTTTTTAGAGAGAACAAATGACATTTTGATATCCTGATGGCAGTGTCTTTAACAAGATATTTGCATTTCATTAATTCTGTAGACCTTAGACTCACTTTTTTGGGTTATGTGACAGTCACCCTTCCCCTTCCATTACTTCAGCATGTGTGTATACATTATATGTGTATATAATACATATACATATATATTTATTTTACAGATATATTACAATTTTATATATATATTACAAATAATATATATTGTATTTTTAACTATATATATTTATATTTGAAACAAGGTGAAGAAAGTACCCCTTCTTTGTTAATACATGTTCCTGCTGCCCACAATCTTTTCGCTGTAGGAATGTGTCTGTGCAAGAGCGAACTCTTCCTGCTCAGTAATGGCTCTTCTCCCTGTAGGCTGCTATTGTGGCTGAGGCTTATGACTTTGTTCCAGATTGGGCCGAAGTTCTGTATCAACAAGTGATCACTAAGGGAGACTTCAATTACTTAGAAGAATTTAAACAGCAGCGACTGCTCAAGCCTGGCATATTTGAGGAGATTGCTAAGAAGTAAGTAGTTCTTTAGTCAAATGGGGACATTTATTTTCTATGATTGACTTCAGAGGAGCAAATTACATGTTAAAAGCATGTAAATCTTTAGTACTATTGAAACCTTTTCTGTCATTAAAGCCTAGTATATCGGTACCTGAGGTTTATGTTCATTTTCTTTTTAAACATGTTGTGGAAAAAGCACTAGGTCTGTCATCTTTATTGTGTGGGGTAGATAGGGTACCTTAAGGCTGCTGATGAGATCAAAGCCTTTTATTTTTATTTATTTTCCTCCAATAAATCAGAACAAAAGAGCCAGAACAATCACCTTGTACGCCAAGCACAACTGGTCCTTTCAGAACTAGAGGTGGTTCTTCTGCCAAGCCCGTCGTGGAACCGTGTTCTGAGCAGTTCTGCTGTTTGATGTTGCTGTAAAATTCTTTCCAGGGTTAAGCAACACTCCCCGCCAGAGGCAGCGCTGCGGAACCTGAAGAGGCTCCTGGCGTCCTGCGAGGACGTGGCCACCTGCTACCGCCTGGCCTACGAGCACCGCTTCTACGACGTGGTGAACGCGCTGCTGCGCGACGCGCAGACCGGCTGCTGCCTGCGCGACCTCCTGGGCACCTAGCGCGGGTGCCAGGGCTCGGAGCTGCCCGGAGCTGCCCGGGGTGACGGATGCTCCTGTTTTATCCAAGCGCTTGGATAAGAGACTGGCACAGGCCGCGGCGGGGGCTCAAGCTCTCCCCTAGGGAGCGGGTGATGGATTTCCATAGGAACCGTGTCCAAACAAGCAAAAATTGAGGTTGAAGGAGAATTTGCAGAACACCCAGTAGACACTCAGGGAAGCACGAGGACGAGGGGAAGGTTCCTCCGAAAATGTTAGATGCCTGGTAAGATACTCCTTTTTTTAGCTTCTTTGATTCTAGTGGTGTTAGTGTATGTTTTTGTCCTCTAGTTTATTGACGAAGTAAAACAGTCTGTACAGCTCTAAGCAGCACACATTAAAATCCTTGCTACTGTCTTGGAGTAAAAAAGAAAAAAAAAAAAGTCCAAGATCAGATTCCAGGGTTAGGAAGCTTTAACTCCCTGTTTAGAAGCTGCTACAGGGCAGACAGGAATCTGGCTGGTGCCAAGGCCCTGTCGTGGGCTCGTACCCACCGCGCTCATCCCTCCGCTCACGGGGATGATGACACTTAACACCACAAATCCGGCTCGGACTTCGATTCTGCATCATCCCCAAAATAAAAACAGGCCCAAGAGCTTCCCCCCGCTCCCAAAACGTGACCAAAACATCCCCAAACAGCAGCTGCAACGAACAGCCATCTCACACCGGTCTAAGAACAAGCTCCTAAAAAGCAGCAGTTCCAGCACTAAGAAGATGAAGTCTCTCATTTACCACTCACCTCTGTAACCTGCCTCTAAACAAGGTTTTTAGTTCACACGGGGGGGTCCTGTCCCCAGGGAGCAAGGCCCGGCCTCCCCCCCACCTCCTTTTGGGACTGCTAAAAATAACAAGGCTGGAAACACTCGCAGTGAAGTCTTCACAATAGTGATTTTATTAAATTAGTTGCTTTATAAAACATTGCAGATGTCATAATTGTTAACATAACAATTTGCCCAACTGTAGTAACTGTTGCAGTTTGCTAAGCAAGTTTTTTTTTTTTAAATGAAAGAAAATGGCTGAGTCGTGAAAGATCTACCACAACCCCTGAAAACAAAAGGAACTCTGATTTTTTTTTCTTTTTTTTACACTTAAACCAGGCAATTATAACTGTTAAAGAATACCCAACCCATACAGCTGCATTAGTAGAAATTTAGATGAATGGAAACTAAACTTTATACTCAGGACACAAGTCGTTTCTCGAATAAGGAGCTCGTTGCGCGTTCTGAGCCCGGCTTTGGCGGCTCGAGCGCCGTGTTTCAGGTGCGGTGTCCCCACGCTCCCCTTCACCACATCCTCAACTCCTCAAGCTCTAACTTAAGACAAAGCAACTGTAATACTAAGTGCACACCATGCCCTTGCTGCAAACTGCTGCTGTTGTGAAACAAGTCACTCAAGGACGTACAGTTAAGGCCCTATCACTGAACTGTGCTGGTAATAATACTTTGCCTCGTCGAAATTCATTTCCAATTTGGTGGTTGTTACTATGCAATCACATAGCAACAGTTCCCATTATCAGGCATATTTGTAACTGCGAGTTACACAGCGTTTTAACCCCTGACCACGGCACGGGAAGGCCAGCGCTTTAGCACCGACGTGTCAGAGTTAACCCACCAGCACACAGATACTGCAGTTTTGATTGTAGCATTTGGCAGAATTTAAAGGAAAAGAAGTTGTGCTACATGTTTAAGGGATTATGGGCAACAGAAAGACAGAGGAGGGCAGATGAGTGTCACATGAAGTCTTCAAACTCTTGTACGTATTCGCCGTCGTAGCCGCCGTAATCAGCCAGGTCGTCCTTCATGGTGGCCTTCAGCCCCCCTCCGGGCACGACCCCTTTTTTCTTCTTTTTGGCCTTACTCTGCTGGAGGGCCAAGAGCACAGGGTTACTGCAGCTCCCGGCGCCAGCGGCCCCGCTGTCCCCCGCTGTCCCCGCAGCCCCCGTGTCCTGCTGCTCCCTGCGCTCACCCCGGCGCGGCCGGGACCGGCACCGGGCCCACGTCTGGTCGCTCTTCCCCCTTTCTCGAGGCTCTGGCTGAGCAGCTCCCTGCACGTGCAGGAATCACTGCCCCGATGAGCAACGTGGCTCGTGTCACCGCACGGGCAGGGATATTTTAATTACCTCAGTCCCAACAAGTGTCACAGAACAAGGTTACCCATTTCAGGATACAGTTCTGCCCTACTGGATTTTTGCTGGTGCAGGTTTCAGTAATTGGGCTAATAAATTTAGATTGAGAGAGGAGAGTATAAAAACACAAACTACAAATACTTAAAAAAGGTTGTTTCAGTAGTCACAAGCCTGGGATGAACCTAGACTTCACTCTGGACTAGATCTATCACATCTGCCAAGCTCTGGGCTCACTGCAGTAACCCGGTACGTGACGCCTGTTTCGCATTGAAATGATTCAGTCATCCTGCT